TTCACTTAAAAGTAAAAAGCAATATTGAGGAATTAAGGACCAAAACTGAAAATATTCAAAAAATTAAATCAATTGGAAGACATTTTAGAGCATTGAGTAACCAATTAGTTCGAAGAATCAATTCAAATCAGCTTAAGCTTGTTATAGATCAAAAGGGCTGTGCAGTTGTTCTGGGTAAGGGCAAGTTTGGTATTTGTAAGCTAACACAGTTTAATGCATCTGGATCAAAGTGTTATGTCGCTGTTAAAGAATATGTTAATAACACTGTTGAGATAAAAGATATACTGTACGAAGTGCAGATTGTACAGCAATTATCACATAAATGCTTCCCATTTGTCTTTGGAGTTTGCAYTGAAAATACCCTAAAAATARTGTTTGAGCTTTGCTCTGAACCAGATGTTCTCAAATTGCCAGTGACAATTCAGTCTGTCTTAACCACCTCAAATTTAAGTGAGGAAATGCACCAGTGGTATGCAATATTAGCTAGCTGTGCAGACGCACTTCATTATTTGACTGTTCATTTAGTAGTTCACGATGATTTGAAAGCTGATAATATAGTACTTACAATGTGCAATGATGCATTCATACCCAAGATAGTTGATTTTAATAAGGCCAGATATCAAAGATTGTGTTCTCAAATCCTTGCCCATTGAAGACAAGTGTATTTATCTTCAACGTTATCCTCACATTGCRCCAGAGGTGATCAATGGCCTTGCAAAGAAATCACCCCGAAGTGATTTGCATAGTTTTGGTTTCCTAATAAGGCAGGTTCAGAAAGTACATAACTCTGAATTTCTATCTGATATTTCTCTTGCATGCATGAGAAGAAACCCACTTGATAGACSAACTGCAGAGAAGCTATGCCAGCACTTAAATTCTGTAATATAAAGCATTTGCCTTGGTAATCACCAGTTTTTAAAAATCAATCATTTCAGTTTATTTTAATTTATACTATATATCTGCATGAAAGACATTGAAAAAAATGAACTATGCTTAAAAAGGTCATTGCTCGAAAGTAATCCATAAATATATCTTATCATATATCTTTTTGCCTCATTGCATAACTACAATATTTTGAAAAATGAAAACTACTAAGTTAGAAATTATATTTTTATATATTACTGTTTGTGAAATAAATGTGTTTTTAAKCAACAAATGTTTATAGTAAACATTTTTGTTCAATCCATGATACTTCCATAAATAATATTATTCTGTGAAATATTCAACTATAATTATCAAGAGCATTTGAATGCATAGTATTGTTTGCACATTCCTGATATTAGTTGAATTTTGAATACTATTTTCAAGATTCTTGTTTACAATACATGCATATAATATTATATATATTCTATTATTGAATTCTCACATGTATGTATTGGTCAATACTAAGGGACCTCAACCCCCTGGGCAGTGGAAATATCCCCCTACATGGGCAGGCTATGCAGTCAAGTATCCCATGTCAGGACAGGAAAAAATCTAATTTTTCTCYCTTGGGCAAGCACTGCCAACATTCAAAAGGGCAAACCATAGCTAATTAGTCCAGGAATATAGTGAAATAATTGTGCCCTCATTGTCAGACATTACTAATTTTTTTAAATATGCATTATATTTCAGGTAGATTGGCTGAAAAGTTACAAACTACCAAATAGGGTTAGTAGATTTCAGACAATCAGCAAAATATATCATATATGGTTATGGACTCATCTGCTTTATTGATAAGAATCTGGCTTATGGTTGTTATGGCCTGAGGATGATATTGTTATTTATTATCTATATCTAGCATACAGCATAAGTAAGAAAAGCTAAAGTAATATATAGAGTGGGGGTTGGAGAACTTTATTGATATCCTGAAATGGCAAGCTGTTTTAAAACCCAAAATGTGAGTTTCATAAGTTCATTTTACTAACATGATCCAATTCTTTATTTTTAGTTTTCATGTGCTGTTGAGGCTGGACTGGCCAATAATTTTCTC